AAAGACAGATGTGAAATGGGAACTCAGCATCTTCGTCCCAGGAATCCAGACTTTTCATCTCAGCACAGGGCCCTCAGGCAACTTAGCCAATGTGACTTCTGGTGCCACTCACAGGGCCATGACCCGATGCACTTGAAAATTTCTTATAAGACACGTAACATTCTCATATTGGAAAGTCAAAGGGTTTTTCCCCCAAAAAATAGGAAAAAATAATGGTTATTTGGATTCATTTCATTTTTCACACTATGGAGATAACAGGGCTGACATATTTGAACCAAATTTGGCATCGCTGTTTGTCCTCATTTGATAGTGGAATGAAAAGCAAGGCATGGATTCTGCAGTGCAGACAGAGGTGAAGAGTGAAAGACTCCCACGTCCACAGCCCTATTAGCCTGTCCTGGACAGGGTGTGGAGGCCTCAAAACACCTGAGCGTGGTGAAGGTCATGGAACACATGATGTTTAGCATGCTCAGGATGTGCGGACCTGGATGGGGTGGAAGTGCACTGCTTGGACCCCAGGGAGGGTCCTCGTGTCATTTAAGGACGACCTGGTGGAACCACATTGCTACTTGCAGAAGGCAGAGTGTACAGATGGTCCCCTTCTCCCAGTGACACCACAGGGTGTTCAGGGGATGCCTCAGGAATCAGTAGCATCTAAAAGTCATCTCTGCCCTGTCTTCCATGAGATGCAGGGGACAGAGAGCCTGCATGAGGAGGAACGTGAGAAGTTTGTGCAGCTGAGTGAGGGAAAGGGGAAAACAAGGGAGTACCCCAGACACATCGCACTAGAAGGTACAGCCCATCACTGCTGCTGGTAGGATGAACATTTCCATGGAAAGAAAACAAATTGCGTGTCCCTTCAGCAGATGATTTAGTAACCACATTTTCTAATATTTAAGCTCTTATGTGAACTATGTTCAATTTTGGGGGTCTTAAAATCTTTTTTTTCTTTTTTTCTCTGCTGCAGATGCTTGTCATGGCTCACATTCATCGTGAGTAGAACTCACTTATCTGAGTCTATTTGACTTGGGAAGTTGGCACAAGAATTTGTTATGGAATGTTCCCACACTAAGTGTAACAAACGTGTAGCTTAGATTAGCACATCTGATTAAAAGTGGAAAAAAACAAACAAACATGGAACTATTGTAACATAAGGGCTTCCATAATTTGTAGGGCAATTAAGTGACTTTGTGGGTTGCATAACTGAGACACAAGCATAAAATTGCTGAACTGTGGTGGGAATACAGCTCCTGGAAGAAATATGGACAAAATATTTAACAATTCTGATTGAAACGTTTTGGGATTATTTCCATATAAAACACCAACATATCCCTACATCAGTTGGTTCTGCAGAATGACTTGTGTTTAAGAATCTCCCCAATGCTTCCCCCAGGAGTCGATGTTGGATTTTCCTTCACTCTGTCACTGATATCTTATTCATATGCACACAGATAATTTAAATGGCTCTTTTAATCTCTACAGATGGAAAAGTCATCTCGGTTTAAAGCCATAATCTTCTCTATGGCATCAAAAATATCATCGGGAAGATAAAATAAACTTTTCTCTCCAAATCTATGTATTCTTTCTTGCAAGGTCAAGAACCCTCACATACCTATGCTGCCCCTCGCGTGCAATACCTCATTTGGTATTATTGGCTTCAGAAATGATTTACTAAACAGATTTTTCAAGCATGTTCATGTGTGTTCCAAGAAAGGCCCTCATGTGCAATGCACAGAGACATCTGTTGAAATTCTTCCCTTGTGAAATAAGTTCGATACCACTGAAGGTGCTAACTTGTTGCACTAATTCCATTCCTCTTTTGTGATAAAGGAGTTGTGATTTAAAAAAAAATATGGAAGACATAGACACACATATTATCAGAAGCCACATGAGCAAGTTTATGACCATAGCAGGATCTGGGGGGACATCTAGTCCCAAACCATAACATCCTGCCCCAGCCCCCCAAAGACTCAACACATTCCTTCACATTTAAATGCATGTAGTCCAACTGGAGGAGTTGGCAAAATCCTAAAAGTTGCGGCACTGTGGAGAAGTCCAGGTCAAAAATCTCTTCTGAGATTTCAGGCAAACTCTTAGGTGCCAGCCCCTGTACCAATGAAAGGAAAAATGAAACATATCCAACACTCAATGCACAAGATTGACATAAACATCCAACAAGGTACAAAGAGGGGGCACAAAGTAAGTCCAAAATCCAGCAAGCCAAACATTTCACTCCACAGTGCCGCGGTTCCAGTTTCTGAGGCAATCGGGGACAAGTTGTGAACCCCAAAGATCTTGGGTGGCTGTCCCTGGGGCACTGCTGGTGGTTCTGGTTCCCAAAGCTTCTCTAGAGAGCAGGCTCTGCTCCCTCTTTGCAGTTTTCCTCAGGCGTTCTGTGTTCCTGGACTCTCCAACCTTCTAGTGTTTCCACTGCACCTTTGGCTTCACACACACACAGATCCACACATTGCCCTGCCTGGCCTTCCAGGCCTTCGGAAATCTGGGTGGGAGCCTTCCTGACATGACAACTCCTGCATTCTGCATGTGTGTAAAACCAGCACCATACAGATGATGCCAAGGTCTGCTGCCACCTGGAGCAGTGGTAGCCAGCCTTCCCTCTGTCTTGGCTGTGGGGATTGAGGGCCTGGATGGCTGAGCACTCTGAACCCAATCCCAAGGAACGAGTTCTCTAGGCTGCCGCCATTTTGGAACAGCATTCCTAGGTGGCCATTTTGGGATGACTGCCCTAGGCCACTGCCATTCTGGCACGTGGTGTGGCTGTCGCCATTTTAAAAGATGATTCTCTGGGGCTCTTTGCTCAAAGCAAAATCCTTTGCTTATAACTCTGAGGCTGCAGAATGAAGAGTCCTGCAGCTTCCTATGGTGCCCTCAAACCATCTCTCCTATTTTCCTGTTCCTTCACAGTAATCAAGGCCAGCTCTGTTCTACCTTTAAAATCCACAGCTTTACTGGAGCTTCCTTTCTGATCCATCTCAAAATGTTTTACATCAGCCTTCTGGTCTCTTTGCTCTTGACTCTCCACATGGATCTGGCTAAAAGAGCCCAACTGTCGCCATGCCACTGCCTCAATATTCTACTGCCTTGAAATCTCTTCTGCAAGATTAATTAGCCCACTGCCCCTAATTCCCAGTCTCAGGAAAAGGCTCTGTAAATGAGTAAAATGCACACAAACTTTCTGCTAAGCCATAACACACATCATCTGGAGTCCCCCAGCCAAAGCGGTCCTCCTTCCTAGCCTGGCCTTTGCAAGCTTTCTGGCCTTCTGATCTGTGACCAGAATCTCCAGACAGCACAGCCTAAGGCCTTGCAGCCCTACTTGTTTGTCTGGCAGCTCTGGATCTTCCAAAAAAGTCTCTGAACATGAGCAGAATTCAGAAAAACTGTCCATCAAGTTAAAACAACATCTTCTGGGGTCCAGCAGCCACTCCGGACCTTCACGGGAGAAACCTCCTGAGCCCAGTCTCCATCAGCTTTCCAGTCTCCTGAGCTCTGACCACAATCTGCCATAGAGAACAGCCTAAGGCTCTCCAGAGCTGCCTCTGTAGCAGACGTCTCTGGATCTTTCCCAACTCTCCCCTAGCCACGATCCAGTGTCATAGCCCTTGACTCACATGGCCAGGGGATGTCACAGCAACAACGAACCCACTAATCCACTTTCAAATATCCACTTTTGTTATTTTTCTCTCCTGGCTGAGACAGAATACCAGACCCCCAAAGTTAAAGGGAAAGGAGTGTGCTAGGCTTACGTTTCATAGAGGCTCCAGATCACAATCAGCCAATACAAGGCAAGGCCCACAAACTGGCATGGGAAAGGAGAAGCAACGTAGCACACGAAGGCAGCGAGGGTGCTCAGAGACAGGAGCAGCATCTCCCCGTCCCTTAGATGTTATTCGGACTCCACAAGGGGGGCAGCACTCACATCCCTCATCCCAGTGCCCCTGAGCCCAGCTTTGCATTATGAATCAACCCCAGCTTCACGCCCTCTAGATCCAGCCTGTGACCCCGGGAGGCTTAGCGGGGACACCCAGACCCAACCATAACAGTTTCCTGTACCCGCTGCTGCTTTGTCTTCCCTTTGTGTGGGATTTCTTTTCAATCCCTCCACATCCACCCTGTTCATATCCTCAGAGTTCGAGTAAGTGTCTTTGAAGGAAACAATTTTTTTGAGTCATTCTTTCACTGCTAATACTGGAAGAATGGGTTACTTTCTCAGTCATTACTGAGGAGGACAACTTTTCTTTCACCAAGGACTATTTTGTTTTCTCATTAAATGTGTTTTCTTTCCTTTAAGCCTTCATAAGTCTTCTTTGATTGGTCTTGTGCCACGTGTGCTATCTTACGTTTCATTTACTTCTCATATTTAGCACTATCGTATTATCACAGACAAAATTGATATTTTAATATACACATTTTGACATATTTTGACTCTGATCCACCTAGAGGCTTTTTCTTTGGGGATTTTTTCTTGATTTACCTGTATGTTTGCAGGAGAGAGATTGCATTTTTTTCAATGTATTATAGTGTCTCAATGAAAGACTTTAAACATACTTCTAACAATCCAGGCTCTGCCCATCATATGCTATGTGGGGCGCATCTTTACTGCATCCTAAATATCCCTCCCCTGACATTTTCACTGATTCTTCAGCCATGCAATGTCACTTCTCAAGGGAGGCACCACAGAACATTTCCACTAAATCATAAAAATCTGAATCCACAGTGACGTAGTTCGTGCTTTTCTCTCAACCATGCAAGACCCAAGAACTCTGCCATAACGCTAAGAATCACATCTAGTTCTATTGCAGACCCAGTCTTAAAAGAGATGTGCACTACAAATTTTTTTAAAAAATTCTTTTCACGGATGTTATGTTTGCATATGATATCACTTTATTTAATCGATTGAGAAACAGCAAGATCAATAAAGAGGAGATGGGGATATGAATGAAAGTCAAGAAATTGGTTCATGACTTCATTGGAAGGAAGAAACTACAGTTAAAGATGAGCAAGTGTAATCATCGTTTGATTCAGTTGTCTTTGAGTAGATTACAGATACGCCTGCTGTGCTTTCTGTGAAAAAAGAAAAAAAAATCATTAAAGTGTAGCTAAACTGATATGATAAGTTGGTCGTTCTGAGAGTGGAAATCAAAAGTAAAGTCTATTAATGGTATTTCAGAGTGGAGAAATAATTACATTTTAGAGAATATTCCTATGCTCACCACTGTAAAAAAATCCGTTAGTTTTGATGGATCTGCATTATCTTTTCATTGTTTATGCACATGCAACGACCAATTTTAACTTGCTAAGGGGCTATTTCTATAAAAAACACATCAGATTTCCTAAGGAAATACGTCCAAGAAATTGAAATGGTCAGGAGCTGTGCACACTGTGTTTCTACTCACTGGATCGTGGTCTTTATTCTGGGCAGGTATCTGAGAAGGAAAAGAAGAGACAAGCAAGGTGGCTGGAGTTACTCAATGAATCAAAACAATTGCAACAGCACTTTGATGAAAACACAAATTTTGGAATAATAATTCCAAGCTGAGCCACTTCTAAGGAGGTTTTGGTATCATCGGACTCAGTGGGGTGACTCTACCTGTTAGGATGACATTTCTTGTGTTTTGTAACGGAATCCTATACTCCTCAACCACCGCGGCAAACTTCTGCTGTTCCTGCACCGTCAGACTGTACCTTTTTCCTGCAAATCAAAGACAATAAAGCAGAGTAGATGTGCTGAGGATGTGACTCTTTTTCCAAAGCTTACCCTGGGCCAGGCTGTGCTACTGGGAATCCCACCATCTCTGCCCCAACCCCTTCCAGCAGGGAAGTCTTAAGTGACATTGGGTGGAGTCCCCACACTGAGCGGCACATGGCCTTCCAGTTCCTAGGACTGCTGAGGACACAAAGCTGCATTTGTGCTGTCAGTCTCCGTGTCCCCGAATGGGATGCAATCTGCAAACCCTTCAGAGTGTGGAGATGGCTGTGTCTAACAGCTGGGAATCTCTGCACGCTGGAGCTTCTCACTTTCCTCTTTCTGTGTTCTGCAGCCCTTCCCCGGTTTGGGTGGACCCTTGATCAGGTGAGGACTGGCAACGCTCTCAGCTTCTGGCCAGCACATCCACCTGCCTCCCTTATGTAATGAGGACCAGGGGAACAAATACACAAAGCCAATCTCCTTCGTCTTTCTTTAACTAGGTTTGACCCAGTTTTCCTGAAATGTCTACGTGTCCCATTCCTCTGAGGCTCAAACGCTTCACTTGCTCCCCATGTGGAGTTCTCAGCAGTCAGAAAAATTCAGAGATTGTGAGCATTGTATGTGAGGAGCAGAATCTAACGTGCTGTTTCCTTATAGAGCAGAGGGTTTAAGATATTTTACTGTCTAAATGTTTCAAAGGAGGCGATTGTGGTAAAACACAGTCATGACTATGGGAAAATCACATATGGAAAATCACACTTTAAATTTTGCTCAAGTAAGTGACACTCACAACGATTATGGCTGGTGTTTCTTTTTGACAAACCTTGCAGTACTTTTTGGGTCTTTGCCTCTTACCATTTTCTGCATAGCACTCTGTTAGGACCCCAGAGAGAATGCACATCTTTAATTTCAAAGACAAGTTTTCAGTACCCTTGATGCCCTCAAGGTAAAAATTTCCATCCCGTGTGTGAACACATTTCTACACTGGGGTTTGCGGAAATGACACATGAACACAGTTCCGTCTGCTACTGAGAGCAAAGGTCAAGTTGATGTCTTTCCCATCTACACAATGGAGAAGTTGCTCCCGAACTTACCAGTGGCCAAAATCACATTTGTTGTTTTGCCTGCTACATCCACGTTTTTGTTGTGAAATATTATGAACTCTTGTGTGTTATACACAATTGAGAAGTAGTTTTCACCCGAGTCTACAATGGAAAAAAAATTGAAACAGTACAGTTAAAATTTACCCCCTGGATCGGGCAGGCTTTATTTGCAATGTGCTGGTTTGAATTCTTCCTTTCAGAAAAAGTCCATTTCATCAAACTTCCTCCAACATGTGACAGTCGGCTGTGAGGACCACTAAGGGGAAAACACATTCTACATTCTTCCTCCTTAATCTGGTGAACATGTGCACCTGTGAAAATGTGTAAATGCTGGCACAGCGTTCTGTGTTTTAAGAGGTAGAAATTGCTAGAGCAAGATCTTGAGATAAATAGGAGGGAAGAAAATCTCCCTATATGAGTCAAAATCAATCATTGAAGCTTCAAAAATTTTGTCACTCAGCTTTCAAGTTTCATCAATATTGTGCTGGAACTCCGTCAGTACGAATTGAAAAGTACCTTGTTATCATACACTAAAAATTTAGAAATTTTGTTTCAGTAACTATAAAGAGGTGTTAGTTACAATATTGAAAAATGCTAGACAGGTAGGTTATGCAGTTGTAGCTTGATTCTGGTACCCAATTATCATATTTATATAAATTAAAATAATTTCATGGCAGAATTTGAAAACTATGGTGTCCATTTCTTTCTATGAAATGAAATACTTAGTGTTCATCTATGTAATAGTACAGGACTAGGTTTTGAAAATTATTCTCAATCATAGACACAGAAGTTGTGTTTATTGTTCTGACTGTTTTAACTGAAATTCAAAATAATGGCAACACATTTTAAATATTTTCATTGTTATTTTAATTCTTAATATTTGGAGTTTAATAAAACTTTATTGTACATCAATTGTGGTTATCTACAAAACAATTCTTTTTTTTTTTTTTGAGAGCGGGTCTCACTATGTAGTTGAGACTGACCCACTGTGTAGCTCAGGCTGGTCTCAAACTTACAGGGATCCTTGTGCCTCAGCCTTCCGTGTGCTGGGATTACCAGTGTATGCTACCACACCCAGCTAGAAAACAATTTTTAAAACATCAGAAATCACTGACTATGTTCATTCAATTAAAGGAAATTGTGAACATATTTGCTAAGTAGATGAGTTATTTTGTAATATGGTTTGTCATTCAAATTATTTTTTTTTATATTTCCTCCCTCAAATATCATTGAAAATACTGGAGGTAATGAAAATTACTACAAATTTTCCAGGTGTGTAGAAACCCTTGCATTACAAGACTCATTGTTCCGAGTCCTCCTCTCAGCACGCCCCTAGCTTCCAACACACTCATCCCATCGTCCTTGTGACTGCGCGGAGCAGTTCTGCAGCTTTCTCCACTGCACTGCATCATTGGGATCAAAATCTGTTGAGGGGCGCTGGCAAGAAGGATGGGCAGGTTTGCTGGAAGAAGGAGCAGAGCTTTGAGGGACATTCGAGGTGGTGCATCTGTTCAGGTCAGGAACTGTTTAAAGTTGAACCCATCACCTCTGTCCATCCCACCGCCACACTGCGGGTGAGCTCGGTTCATTGACCATTGATGCTCACGTTCCGTGCTTGCATTTCCGTGCTATGGAACACATCCCAGCTGGGTATGATGCCCTGCACTGTCACAAGTTTCGCTAGATTTTTCCAGGTTGCCCAAGGCATCGGGAGCAGGAATTGTTTAGAGTCCCAGTGCTGAGGTGGGTGAGAGTGAGGCACAGCCATGAATTTCCCATGCTTTAAGACTCGAGCCCTGTAGTCAACCTACAACATCCCGTACTCACAGTCAGTGAAGTAATCACCGCTTGCTTCATCTTTTACTCCCACGACAGTGAACTCCTGGCACACCCCTTCCTTTCTGAAAGACAAACCAACACCACAGTGCTTATTTCTCATCCGTTTTGATCTCCTTCTGAGGAACTGTGGGAATAACAAGACATTCCAGGTGGTGAAACTCATGGGCTGTGTCAGTATTTCTCTCACATGATCTCCCTGGTGTTTTGGAGCTTTCCCATTTAACCCCAGCTTTGCACAGCTTTGGTGAACACGGTGCATCCAGATGGATGATACTCAGTGCCACCAGACTCCCTGAGGTGAGCAAGATTTTCACCAACAACATTGGCCTGTACCGGCTTCATTCCCTCAGATCTCACCTCTGACTGCCACCCGTAGGGGTGTTTGCCACTCATATTTGGCAGTGCATAGCCAACGCCACATCACAGGGAAGAGTTTTGCTGCATGTCACATAAACAGATCTCACCGTTCTCAAAGAGATTCCTCACCCGTTCTACACATGCTCCTGAGGGTATTGATGCTGAGGTCCTTATGCTCCAGGATACTGCTCAATTTCTGCTACTTAAGGTGATTAGTAATCAATAAGATGACGCTAATAGATGTACAAGACCATGGTGGCAAATCCTCTAGACAAATTCATTCCATACATCCATCCAGCCACACATTAGTCAAGGTCCTATCTCCACATGCTTCTACCTCCATCGTGATGCATATGTGCTATTATTATTTATTTGTTTATTTATTTTGTGGTACCTGGGATCGAACTCGGGTCCTTGCTCTTGTGAGGAAGGCCACCGAACGGCTGAGCTAAATCCCTGGCCCCTGCTATTACTTAAAGATCTTGGAAACATAATGTTCAATTGATACTCCATACTGTAGCTCACATTTGACTATATTATTGTTCATTTTCCCATTGCATACATATGAGAGCACACTGAAGGAGTTGGGTGGATCCTTCCCTTAGATCAGGGGACATTTTACTTACTTGATATAAAACCTGATAGAGATATTTTTGCATCCATCTTGACAATGCAGTTCGCGGAAATAGCCCCTCATGTCCCCACCCTCTTCGATCTTCTCCACGTTATCAGCAGCTATGTAAATGCTGTGCCACTCACCATCGATCTGCAAAGGCAAGTTCACGCTGAGCAGGTTAGTGGATGGCTTTGTTCTAGTCGCATTAACATCTCTACATCAGGTCACGCTTCAGCTCAACACAAAAATACAAATCTGACCCTACCGGATAAATGCTTGGTCATGGTCCCTAAGAGGAAAATCATGGAAAAGCCACAGAATTCTTCAAATTCACACAGCGCACGAGGCATTTATTGAGATTGAAATAGCAAAGAGTCTGTACTTGGATATTAGGCAGACTTAAAACTTTCATTTATGTGCCTTAGGTTTTGCAATTACAGACAGTTATGATAGAAAGACAACAGAGACATCTCAGAAAACAAGATTGGTTCAGGTCTATAGGCTGACATGAAGAACATGGTTATAAAATGGAGTTACTACGGAAAATAAGGATGGACACATAGAAACACACACACACACACACACACACACACACACACACACACACACACGCATACCCCACTGTAGAGCAGATTAACCTTGCTACCTCTGAAGGGGTGGGATTGTTCTGGGCAGAAGCCAGACCGACAGCAAGAGCGAGCAGCAGAATCTGCATCCTGTTGGAGTTGCCTTTCTTCCTCAGCAGAAGCTCAGAGCAGGACAGATGCTGAAGGGAATCAGAGCTGTGGCCTCTTTTATAGCACTGCTCCAGGGGGGTGAGGCATAAGGAATTCATTGTTCATCTGGATAGCTTCAGTCCTAACATTTCCTGATTGGAAGCGATGGACTTTATGTAATTTTCTATGATCGTTTTAATGAGATAAGCTTTGGTAGAAGTTTAATTTGGCCTGTATACGTGACCTTTTCAGCCCCAGAGAGAGAACACAGCACACAGGAAACATTCAAGGATATTTCCAGCAATTTCTCCTAAATCCCAAGGAATAATAGAGTAGGTAAGTTGCTACCGACAGTAGGGCAGCAAACACGGGATTTCACGAGGAGATACAGGTTCTCTGAAAGGTGGGAGCAGGTTCGGCGATGACAGTCAGACAAAAGCACTCAACACCGAGGTGAAGTTTGCAAATGCTGCTGCAATTTTATTTCTAACTCTAGGTGTTTATATACTAGTTTCAAGGGCACACCACAAGAGTGATTCCAGTCACAGGCAGGCATGAGAAGGATAGACAATAGTACTGTAAAAACTAAGACCACAAGGTCAAGTTAAGACCACACCTATATACCATCACAAAAGCTAAGACCATTAAGTCAAGGTAAGACCACACCTATACGCAGTCAGAAGGGGAACTTTGTAAAACAAAGGACTGGCTTCAGCATGTCACCTTCAGGATCACCTTCAGGACTTCACAGTCCGGGGCTCAGGGTCAGCACTTTGGCCGCCCGTCCTCTTGTGCCTCAATACTTCCACATCTCTAGGAACATCTAATTGTTCCTAACCTTTCCTGGGCCCAGAATACAATTCTACAGATAATGAACAAATAGTAATAAAGACAAAATAGAACAGAATTATAAATGTACCCAATGTCCCCAAACTGCAGGCAGAGAGGCCAGCTATTCTCTTCACGGCTGACTTCGCATGCGGTGTGTGCCAAGGACCTCCAGGAGGCTTAACCCCGTGGGGACGATACCTCTGGTCTGGTTTCTGCCAGGTGACCGGCATTGTCACGCAGACTCCACTGGAGTGGTGGTGGCAGTAAGTCACAAAACAAATGTTGCAATACCAATATTACTCCTTCAGATTCCAGACACCACACTAAAACATAGTTTGGAACGTGAAACATGGTGCTCTCCAGTTTGGCCAAGTGAGAACATGGCATCTATACCTTGAAATGCCAGGATCTATGGTAGGCCTTATACTTCATCCTTGAGATCACAGCTCTCTGGGGAGACTGAAGCAGGAGGGTCACAGACTGAAGCCACTTCGTGATGTAGTGAGACCCACACACAAAATAAATACTGAAGGGTGCTGCGGATGTAGCTCCGTAGTAAAGTGCTGAGTTTGAGCCCCAGTATGTATAAAAAAAATGGAGTACTAGTGAAAATGATCATCAAAGGAAATACAAATTGAAAATCTTCCACGTTTTAAATCAATTATGAATCTCTCCCTTCCGGTATTTACATACAATGTTCTTTTCTAGACCCCAACTTACTTTATCCAGCATCACTCAAACTTACAGCCATTGTCACGTTTCTCTTTTCCAATTTAGATCTGTGATCCACTTTGATTTTACATTGCTGCATGGTGAGAGATACATTTCTAGGTTCAGTCTTTGGCAACTTGAAACCCAGTTTTCCAGCACCATTTATTAAAGAGGCTGCCTTTCCTCCAGTGAGCGTTGTTGGATCCTCTGTGGAAGATGAGTCGGTTGAGTGTGTCTGGAGTTTTTTCCGCATCTTCTAATCTGTACGCCTGGTCCTCTGGTCTGTGTCTTTGACAATACAGAGGTCTTTTCAGCACAGTTGCCTTGTAGTGTAGTTTCAAGGTGGAGACTGTGATAATCCTTACTTTTTTTTATTTCTAGAATTGCTTTTGCTATCCTAGGTCTCTCCTAGCCCCAAATAAATTTTTGGATTGTTTTGTCAAGGTCAGTGAAGTATGCTGCTGGAATTGCATTTGGGATTGGACTGAGTCTGTATAGCAGTTTTGGAAGTATGGCCATTTTCATTATCTTGGTTTTCCTACCCAGGAGCATGGTGTGGAGCAAGAACATTTTCTGATGTCCTCTTGGTCTCTTTTTTACAGGGTGTTGTAGTATTCAGAATAAGGGTCTGTGATTTCTTTCATTAGTTGGATTCCTAGGTATTTCACCTTTTTGGGAAAGGGAGTGTTTGCCACATTCTCTCTCAGGTAGTCTGTTTTTTGTGTACAGGAAAGCTACTGATTTTGTGTGTTGACCTCATATCCGGCTACATTACTGAATTGGTTATTATGTGTATAAGACTTGTGGTGGAGTTCTTGGGGTCTTCTAATTAGATTACTGTCTGGGATCTAAAGAAGTAATATTGGTATTGCAGTATTTGTTTTGTGATTATCTTCTCCTCTATTAATGAATTTAAGAGAAATTGCTAGAAATACCCTTGAATGTTTCCTGTGTGCTGTGTTCTCTCTCTGGGGCTGAAAAGTTCACATATACAGGCCAAATTAAACTTCTACCGAAGCTTATCTCATTAAAACGATCATAGAAAATTACATAAAGTCCATTGCTTCCAATCAGGAAATGATAGGACTAAAGCTAGCCAGATGAACAAGGGGATCCTTATGCCTCACACCCCTGGAGCAGTGCTATAAAAGAGGCCACAGCTCTGATTCCCTTCAGTGTCTGTCCTGCTCTGAGCTTCTGCTGAGGAAGAAAGGCAATTCCAACCAGATGCTGATTCTGCTGCTTGCTTTTGCCGTTGGTCTGGCTTCTGCCGAGTACTTTCCCAAAGCTTCAGAACTAGCAAGGTTAACCTGCTCTACAGTGGGGTATGCGTGTGTGTGTGTGTGTGTGTGTGTGCGCGCGTATGTGCATGTGTTTTGTGTGTCTGTCACTATTTTCCATAGTTAATTCAATGTTATAACCATGTTTTTCATGTCAGTCTATACTCCTGAAAGAATCTTTTGTGTTTTGAGATCTCTCTGTTGTCTTTCTATGACAATCATCTGTCAATACTCAACCTGCTCTTCACAATAGAAAGTTTCATCCGGGCACGGTAGCACACACCTGTAACCCCAGCATGTCGGAGGCTGAGGCAGAAGGGTCACTGTGAGTTCTAGACCAGCCTGGGCTACACTGTGAGTTCCAGGTCTTTCTCAACTACATAGTGAGACCCTGTCTCAAAATCAGACAAACAAACAAACAAACAACAAAAAAGAACAAAGCAAACATAATGGAAATTTTCAAGTGTCCACATAATTCAAACATACACACACGATTTTGCTATTTCAAACTTTCTAAATGCTTTGCATGCTGTGTGAATCTGAAGAATTCTGTGGCATCTTCCTTGATTTTCCTCTTCGGGACCATCACCAAGCATGTATCCAGTAGGGTCAGATTTGTATTTTTGCGTTGAGCTGAAGTGTGACCTGATGTGGCATTGTTCATGCGACTAGAACCAAGCCATCCACTAACCTGCCCAGCTGAACTTGCCTTTGCAGATCGATGGCAACTAGTGCACCCTTTCCATGGCTGCAGATAACTACATTGAAGAGGGTGGGGATCTCAGAAGCTATTTCCACCACACTGAATATCAAGGTGCGTGCAGAAATATCTCTAGCAGTTTTTATGTCAAGTAAGTGAAAGCTACCCCCATCTAAAGGAAGGATCTACCCAACTCCTGACCTATGGCCTCATGTCTATTGTGGCAATGCACAAGAATGTAGACAAACGTGAGCGAGGTAGAGTATTGCGGTACCCACTGCCTGCTTTGTGAGTGCGTGGACCTGAGTTCCATCCGTGGTAAAAAAGGTAAATAAGTAAATGAAGGGTGGAGACATCAATTGACCGCTATGTTCCTGGATCTTTAGTAATAATACATGAAGATCATAATGATTATAGAAACATATGGAGATGGGGTATTGACCAGTGCTTTGCTGGATGCGTTGATGGAATATGTGTGTCTGCGTGTTTCCTTCTCCATAATGAGCTATATCTATCAGAGTCCCCTTCGTCATGAATAGTCACCTGAATTAGCAGACTTTGAAGATTGTCCTAGAGCATGAGGATCTCAGCGTCAATACCCCCAAAGAGCATTTATAGAACGGGTGAGGAATCTCTTTGAGAACCCTGAGATCTGTTTATGTCACAAGCAGCAGAGATCTTCCTGGTGATGTGGGATTGGCTATGCACTCCCAAATGAGACTTGCCAACTGCTGTGCCTGTGCCCAGTGGGCGAGAGCTAAGGGAATGGAAGGGGCACTGCCACTGGTGGTGGTGGGAATTTGCACAGCACAGGAAGCCTGGATGCCATTGAATATCATCCAACTGGACATCCTTATCAAGGTTGAGCAGTTCTGAGTCAAACTGTAAGGCTCCAATACACCAGGGAGATCATGTGAGAGAAATACTGACATAGCCTATTAGTTTCAGCACCTGGAGTGTCTTACTATTCTATTATTCTCATATATTATTATTCCTCAAAAGGGGACAAAACGGATGAGAAATAAGCACTGTGGTGTTGGTTTGTCTTTCAGGAAGGACGGGGTGTGCCAGGAGTTCACTGTCGTGGGAGAAACAGATGAAACAAAAGGTGTTTACGTCACCGACTGTGAGTACTGGATGTTGTAGGCTGACTACACGGCTCGAGTGTTAAAGCGAGGGCAGAGTCATGGCTGTGCCTCACTCTCACCATCTCGGCACTGGGACTCTAGAACAATTCCTGCTCCCGATGCCTTAGGCAACCTGGAAAAATCTAGCGAAACTTGTGACAGTGCAGGGCGTCATACCCAGCTGGGATGTGTTCCATAGCACGGAAATGCAAGCACGGAACGTGAGCATCAATGGTCAATGAACCGAGCTCACCCGCAGTGTGGCGGTGGGATGGACAGAGGTGATGGGTTCAACTTTAAACAGTTCCTGACCCGAACAGATGCACCGCCTCGAATGTCCCTCAAAGCTCGGCCCTTTCTTCCAGCACACCTGCCCATCC